TTTTTTGGTGCCGGCTGGTGGATTTTGTTACCTTAGGGCTAGTCAGGCTAGTTGTTTCTCTTTGCTAAGCTAAGATACCTGGCTGCTGGTGTTGTTTGGTGTACTGACATGACAGTGGTATCAATCTAACTCTCAGCAAGAAAATAGTAAGTGTACTTTCCAGAACGGTTTAATTCTACAAGTATAATTTCCAGAATACAGTTTCTATTTCACAATTTCAGTATTCTTCAATCAGAAACTCTTTAAGGTGAGAAAAAAGACTCAGCCTTACACTAAACCTTCTCTCTTCCTCTTCTCACCAGTGCCGTGTACCCCTGCACAGATCTCCTCTATGGTGGACTGTCAGACCAATGCTCTGACTGTGTTCTGGTCCAATAGCTCAGGAGCTGACTCCTACATCGCTACAGTGCAGGACAGCCACGGTCTGGCCACCACCTGTCAGGGCACAACGACAGGTTCGTGCAGTGTGACGGGACTCAGCTGCGGTCAGATCTACCATATCTCAGTGGTCTCCTCTGATGGACACTGCAACAGCACGCCCACTCCTGTGGCTGACACACCCTCAGGTAGAAAAGCAACCCAAGTACTGATGCACTCAGGATCTGAACTTATCTAATGTGTATTATCTGAGAATAACTGCACACCCATTAGTAGATTGTACTACAGTTTAGCAGTATCAGAGAGTGCATCCTCCACTATGGCCACACAGTTTTCTGGAAGACCTAAGTATATCTGAACCATATTTAAAGTCTTGTCCTTCTCCCAGCCCCCTGTCAAACACGAAATGTCGGGATAGTGTACGACTGCAACACGCAGATCGCCACGGTGTGGTGGACCCCCACTGCTGGAGCTTGGTTGTACTCTGTGACACTCAAAGCAGCATCAGGCTACACCGTCATCTGTGAGACCAGCTTCTCCTACTGTGAAATAGATTATCTGCTCTGCGGTCGTAACTACTCTGTGTCTGTTCAAGCTTGGGGATGGACATGCAGCGCCACCACTTACTTGCACCAACAACTGGCCACTGGTGAGCAATGACTCATGGGCTTACAAGGCACTTTTGTCTGGAATTAGAAAATGTCAGACTTTAATGCTTCAGTTGTTCCTCTCCCAAATCATCTTGTTTGTAGAATTCTGTAGTGTCAGGATCTTGATACAGAGCAGGATGTGGATTTTTTTTTTT